ACCTTATATGACACTCCACACACATGGGGATAGGGTCATGAGGGTCTACCCCCATATGTGTAGAGTGTCATCCAAGGTATTAACTTGGATGTACACACAGCATTATTCTTAAATAATATATGACTAATTTATCGGATTGCATGACCGACTTGTTTTATAAGGCTCAACGGTGGATCTGATGGTCAATGTGAAAAGTATGGTGGACATTGGTGAAATTATTATATACTAGGAGACTCACGATGAAAAGCACATTACAATCATAAAATCGAACGCTAAAAAAAAAAAATTTAAAGTGGCACGAATTCAATTCTTAGTACTAATACGGCAAATTTGGAAGGTGCTTAGCTCCCCTCCAATAGATTTCTAAGGAAGAAATAAACAGGAAAAAAATTCTAGCATTTATGCATCTGGAGATTGGATACAGATCGATGCCTCACTGTCTGGCCAGGGAGCAATGAACTCATTTTATTATTTTTTGGTTTTTTCAGATGCTAATTTTGCCATGGTGATTGGTGTTGATGAGTCTGCTGGTCATATGAGGAAGAACCCATTTGACCAAAACCAGCCATATTGAGAAAATCTCTATGACGGAATGCTCTAAGACCCAAGAAATCCCGAGTCATTCCATCATTGCCACCGGCGCCACTGCCACCAGGAGCGGTGGCTTCTTTGCTTACAATGTTCAAATGGGAAGTCCCTGGATTTGGATGATTTTCTTGAAAATTATTGACTCCTTTTGAGTTCAACATTCTGTTAAAAGTATCCTCAAAGGCTGCTGATCCTTCGAACCCACTATTTGGAGGCAAAGAAGTCAACATATTCATATCATGAAGCATAGAAGAATTGGCTCCCACTGTTGCACCTACAAGTTGTTCCATGCAACCTGACGTGACATTAACAAAACCCGTTGCTATCTCTTCACGTGAAGAGGACAAACCCAGTCCAGCACCAGCTGTAGAGGACTCCAATGATGTAGCACTGAATCCTGGTGCACCCATGTGAGCCAGGTGGGCCCTAAAAATTCCATCTGATTGAGCAGTACATGTTTTGCTGTTGCTGCTGCTCATTGTAACCCCAATTTGTGCTGCCTTTTGCAGCAAAGCAGTTGCAGACATGTGATGAGAAGGATTCAAAGCAGAAGAAAATGTTGGATTTTTAGGGTTTGTGTTTTCTTGATGGAGAATCGACTGTTCTAACCTTGATGAGGAGGTGAATAATTCACTACGCGGTGGACCTGCTGCACCTAGCCCAGAGTCTACTGTCATCCATGGAGGTATTTCAGATCTTGAACTGAACATTTGTTGTTCTTCTTTGAGTGAAAATGGTTGAAGGCCATGGAGGTGGGGTGGGTGGGGTGTAGATGAAGTGCCTTGTTGGGAAGACAAAATTGGGTTCATTTGTGTCATTGACCTTGCACTTTCTTCTGCTAAAGCATCACAAAAAGCTCTGTGGGTGATGAAACTGTCCCTCCTGTGAAAAAATTGCAAACAAACAAACACAAAAAACCAAAAAGAACAAACCATCAAAAAATGCATGAATAGTCAAAATAGTGCTGTCTCTTGTCAACCCTATTGGTTTCCTTATTACAATTTCATCATTTTTTATTATATCGACAGAAGAGGCTTCGACAGTACAAACCAGTAAAATTATTGTCAATGCTACAAATTGCTTTTTGCAGAGAAATGGCTATAAAGTATAACTTTAGATCCATCCCTCTTTTTCACCCTCCATCCCGAGAAAATAGAGAGAAGGAAAGAACAATGGTAGGAATATAATTCAATAATATTTGATTTTTACAAAAGAATTTGAAATAATATGAAATGATGTACTAACGAGTAAGGTGTTTTCATTATTTAGCTAAACTGTGTACCCGTAAATAAAGAATTAATATAATGGTGATGGACTCAATAATTCAGCAATAGTGATAACAATAATGAAATGAATTTCGGGTTTTAAGATCCAACTTAGCCTCTGTTTGGTTCAGCTTTTTTGACCAACTTATAATTTCAAAAAAATTGTACAAAGTAGGAGCTTAAACAAGTTCTTACCTGGAAAAGAGTGTTCCACAATCACATCTATACTCTCTGGTACCACAAATTTTAGAATGAGCTTTCCAGTCGGACTGAACTGCGTAACGCTTTGAGCATTTTTCGCATTTCCACTTCTTCTCACCATGTTTTCTGCTGAAGTGTTTCTTTATCCCAGTGAGGTCCCCCAGAGCCCTTGAAGGATCATGGTGCACACAGCTTGGCTCTGGACATATATAAACCTTCTTCTTTACTACCTCTTTGCTGTTTCTTTGCTTTAGTTTCCATGGCAAATTATGCCCTCTTCGGTGTAACTGAAGATTCTGATCTCTCTGAAATCCCTTGTTACAAATCTCACATATAAATCTATTTGTTGCAAGAAGACTTTTTGGAGATAAAGCTACCACCTCAGCCTCAGGGTCTGATGGCCAAGAGAATATCTTTAATTAATTGCAAGAAAAACCAAGAAACTATCAAACTAGTCAAAGCAGTGGATTTCATATTGGAAAATTTTGGATTTGGACTTGAATGACAGTGCAAGCAGAATACTTTTGATTAGAGCATGATGTTGTTGACAATTTTCATAAATGAATGACATGAGCGAAATTGAAGATGTTATCTAGATTCTAGTGTCGAGTCTGTTACCATGTTGAATCGACAATACTCTAAAACTTTAAGCTTTTCATAAGGGAGATATATATTTATATATTTAAATTTAATCTTCAACAAATATTGTACCTGGATTGCCTGGAAGATTTCTTTTCTTCTTAGGTGCTGGTTGTGTCGGATTATCAGGTGAAATTGCAAAGGACTGTTGTGGGTAGACAGTAGTTGGAATTTCAGTTCTGTTGCTTGAAGATATGCTAGCTTCATTGGATGCAGATGTTAAATTTGACATACTGTCATCAACCAACATACCATGTAACATTCTCTCTCTTTTTCTTGATCCCTAGTACTCCTAAATCTCAGAATTTTCTATAACCACACAAAAAAATATAAGATTCATTCATGAGCCATAGATCTGCGACTTTTTCATATTGAACACAGAAACCCTAATTCGTAAAAAGGCTTACAAAAAGTGAAGCTGATGAAAACTATTACAGAAAGGTAAAATTCAGCTTTCTTGAAAATACGCTGTTCTCCACTTTTCTCCCAAGCACACTAAACAATCAACAAGCAGAAAAAAGGGATTACAAATTATTCAGAAAAGAATGTAAAATCAGTATAAAAATTCTTCATGCAACCACCACCCTTAATCCTATACAAAAGAAAACATACCTGCTGGTAGCTGCCAACAGCTAGATGATTCTACAGAAGCCACACAAATTAAGAGAGAGAGAGAGAGAGAGAGAGAGAGAGAGAGAGAGAGAGGTGTGTGAGAGAGAGAGATATGGATGAGAAGGTATCCTTCTCTTTACTTCTCCACCCCATCAACAAACCATAGGCTAAGCCACCAGGCTTTCTCTGACGTTACACTTTGTCTTTTCTGTTGTTTTCTTGTCAATACTAGGTCTTCAATAATTGTAATATTTTTATCAATATCTAGTGTGTGTATGTATAAATTAGTAATTTTTTTTCTTGTTTTTCTTACTTGTTTTGGTTAGAGGGAATATTAGTACTTTGTTAAAGAATAACTTTTGAATTTCTCACCACTTTCAATTCCTTACAAAATACAGACAAAGGAACAAATTAAGTAAACATAGGAGAAATTAATTCAAACCTTTTGAATCTGCCTACAAAGATTATTTTGAAATGTGAAAACGGAAAGATTAGTAGTTTGGGTTAAAATATGATTCCATCACATTCACATTTATTCTTTATAATGAAGATATTGACTAAAGATAGTTGCATTTCTAAGCCATGTAAAAATTAAAATTTTAGATTTTGATAAAATTCTATGAAATGTGTACTTGAAAAGTTAACAAAAATTGTAGATACTATAAAATGTAAGGTTGAAAATGAGTTAAAAAAAAA